TTGAACACAGCTCGTTCAAGTGTTTTTGCAATGGAAGGAAGAAGGGAAACCGGTCTGTAGTTCTCTAAAAGAGATGGGTTAAGGGTGGGTTTCTTAAGTAGTGGGGTTATACGAGCTAAATTCTGTGGAGTCTAAATTCTGAGGGAAAAACACCAGTGTGAAGGGATGTGTTAATGATGTGAGTGAGTGCAGGTACAACTGTAGGAGAAATGGCTTGAAGGAGATCAAATGTAATACGATCAAGCGGACAAGTAGTAGGATGATTAGAAAGGATGAGTTTGCCTCTCTGCCTCAGAGAGTGAAGAGAAGGATGTGAACGAGTGTATGTTTGCTGGTAAGATGGATGGTCTTGATTATGATAGTATGTCCTTTTATCAGTGGAGACATTAGCAGAGAAGGAATAGAGGATTACAATTACAATATTATTACAATAAAAAATGAATTATTTTCTATCTAAATAAATATATTAAAATAGAATTTATTTCTTGGAAGGCAAAGTTTAATTTTAGCAGCCATTACTCCAGTCTTCAGTGCCACATGATCAGAATTCATTCTAACATGCTGATTTCTTGTTATCAGTGTTAAAAACAGTTTTGCTGCTTAATATATTTGTGGAAATAGTGATATATTTACTCTAACTTTTGATCAATTTAATGTGTCCTTGCTGAATAAAAGTATTAATTTCCTTTCCCTTTTTTTAATCTTACTGACCTCAAACTTTTGAACAGTAGTGTATGTGTATCCATTCTACATGTCCACCATTTTTACTTGATTTCTGCTTTCTTTGAAAGGAATGTTAGGAGTGAGGAAACAGATGGGAGGTAATTCAAGGGGTTTTGATTATTAATTAGTTGTTTATTTTTTATAGCTAGTTTATAAACATGTAAATGCTGTTTAGTTTTTCAGCAGTAACTGCAAGAAATTAGTATTCAACCACACAAGTAGTGACACTAGAATTAGCCTAAATAGTTTTACAACACTAAGGATCCAGCTGCTCTGTAGTTGTCCCTATAGGTACAGCACGTGTCTCTGTGAATGTGTGTGGGTGTGTACTTAATGTATTTAAGATAGTCTTCCACCATCCTGATCATTTGTATCTATTGTTATGTGTGTGTGTAACAGGATTCAGACCTCCTTTGGACAGATTTCCATCAGAAACTTGTGGACCATGCGCTTATATCCATGGACACTTACCTGGGCCAGTTTCCTGACATCAAAGTACTAAGATCCCATGACGATGCTGTAGTTTAGCATATCATGCTGTGATTTTCTGTTTAATATCTGTATAATTCTTTTCAGTCCCGTATTGCAAAGCGTGACAGGAAGCTGGTGGACTATGACAGTGCACGACACAACTATGCTGCGGTGAACAAAGGCAAGAAAAAGGAGGGGATCAAGGTCACCAAGGTAGAGCCCTTAGTTTTTTACGATACTTTTGCCATTTAGTTTCTTGTAGTCATGTTGTGTTTTAATGTTTCTACAGTCCGTGCATATGGAGTAAGATTTATTTTTCTTTTTTTTTTCTCTTCTCTATGTAGCCAGCTTCCCTGCTGGAGAGGGCCGCCCCAGGCTGGGCTCAGGGGATCCTGTCTGCCCATAACGTGGCTCAAACCAGCCTCTCCAGGAGTCAGGTGAAGCACTATAACTTAAAGGGATAGTTCACCTGAAAATTAAAATTCTGTCATTTACTTACCCTCAAGTTGTTACAAACCTGTATGAGTTTCTTTCTTCTGTTGAGCATAAGAGAAGATATTTTGAAAACTGTTGGTAACCAAACAGTTGACGGCAGCCATTGACTTCCATAGGATGAAAACAAGTACTATGGAAGTCAATGGCTACTGTCAACTGTCTGGTTACCAACATTCTTCAAAATAACTTCCTTTAATTTTACTACTTTCCGAGCTATTCTGAGATACTAGCCATCATCTTGATCATTTTGCTCAGACAAGAGGGCAATATCAGCCAAAACAAATAAGTATCTTGTTATTACCTGGTTATTCCAGGCATTTTTGTGCCAAATAAATGACAAATCAGATATGGCAGGTGAAGCACTTCATCATGTTTGATTAGCTGTGTTGAGGTAAATTTGTTTCAACAGCTAAAGTCTTGTGGGTGAATAAGATTATTGAACTCCATGTCGTGTGATAATGTAATTTTTTTGTTTATAGGCAGAGGAAGAGCTGGAGAGGGCACAGAAAGTGTTTGAGGAGATTAATATAGATTTGCAGGAGGAACTGCCATCTCTGTGGAACAGGTCTGGATTTATTTACTGTCTTTCTTTCACAGATCTTCTTTGTGTTTAGTCTCACAGACTTTTGACTACAGGCATTTATGGTCCACATTCCAGCTAATTCTGACTAAAAAATCAGCTACTTAGACAGGAAGAACCATGATCATCATCTAAAACAACGTGTAACAGTTCATTTTCTTTATGAGAAATTTATGGGTGGATAAATGTAAGATCTACAATAATAATAGACTGGTTTTTAACAATGCAGTAATACAATCAAATTATTGCACAGCAGTCTCTGTTTTACAGATAACATCAAAGACAGTGAAAAATGTCTAAATAATAAGTATGCAGTTTAATTGCTAAAAGCAAGTACCTCAAGCAAAATTCAAAAGAACACATTTCACAGATTCAGTGCCATGAGCCTCTGTATTTGCCACTTTGTCAAATACAGTACCTTTACACCCTGAATCACAGAAATTATGTAGAAGCCTGACAATCTGATTGACTCTTGCCATTTTTGTGTGCAATATGCGCCAGATGGGTCATAAATGGTCCATGGGTGTACCGTCAGACTGAGGCCTGTTGTCATCTTATGGAGGGTTTAGATTGTGTTTGCTCTCTTCCAGTCGTGTTGGCTTTTATGTGAATACATTCCAGAGTGTGGCTGGTCTGGAGGAGAAGTTTCACAGAGAAATGGGAAAAGTAAGGACTCCAGCTCAACACCATCAACTGACAGAACATTATGATTATGTTTTGTGTAGTGTAATTTAATTACAAGTAAATAATCTGGTGAATGAGTAGTGTGTGTGTGTGTGTGTAATATTGATGATTAATATAAATATTATTAATATAACATTGACTGTAAAATATGAAGGAAAAACTTCTACATTTCAAAAGATGTTGATTTTCCATATAATATTTTTTCTTACAGATTAATCAGAATCTGAATGATACGCTGGAGAAATTAGAAAATCAAGATATGTCCAGGTTAGTATATGCAGCATACATACATAATGTTTACATTTATAAGCACTGAATTGTATTTATTGTATATTTTAACCATGCTGGCTAATTTTTACCTATTTTGCCTCAAAATGGTGTGTAAATTGTGCATATGGCAATAATTAGTATTGGTACAATTACACTCTATACAGTTTATACAATTAAATAAATGAACAAACCAAAAACACCACTCTCACAGAAAAACAGGTAGCCAAGAGGTGAGGACATCAACAGCCCAGAAGAGGTAACGGTAGCCCTACAGTTCTGTGTGATTGAGTGTGTGTGTGGATCTTTGCATTCCGTATTGTGTGCCCTCAAGTGCTGCCCACCTAGACAAGGGTTTGTCTTGTGCAGTCCGTCTGCAGTCCTGAGAGTTCACTGCATGATTAGAATGATTTTGCACATGAAGCAACTGCGTCTGCATGAATGCCTGTTAATTTTGGTACTATCCTAAGTGTAGTTACAGTATGTCAGTTCTGGCTTGGAAGTCTCCCAGATAGGCTGTTGGTCACACTGGCCATCTAAGACTAGGGCTTGCAGAGTGAAACATTGGTGCTTGGATTGAGCCTAATCAAAGCATGACACACAGGGGCTCTTTATAGCCATGATACTGTATTTCATTATTAGTACTTTATGCTGCAGTGACAGAACACAAGATGCCAATCACACGTTGAGCCCAGGAGGACCGCCAGCCATACCCAAATCACCGTCCAAGGTATGCATTTAGAAATCACCACGGCATTGTACTTGCCATGTAAAATAACACAGCCTTGAGAAAAAATCTGAAATCTGGTGATTTGCAAAAAAGTAAATAATTTGCATATAATCAGCATATATTTATGTATCAGCTTTAATGCACTTAAAATAACAAAATAAATATAAAAATAACAAAAGCAGTCAAAGGTCATAAGTATAGGTGTTAATGGCAATTAAAACGAAGTATTCAATTAATTTAACTTACATTTGGCAAAGGAGTTGCATCAGGAAACATAAAATAATGTAAAATGATGTGCTTGAGCAAAACAGCACTATTTTTGGAATCAGCACCCCAAAATTAATAATTGCTGTGATTTCCCAGTATTACAGTGATTTCTATATGAAATATGAAACCCTATTTCATTTTTATGTGTTTCTAGCTAAAGCCTACGGTTCCTCCACCTCCTAAAGTTACTCCATCAAAGGATATGAAGCAGGAGAACATTATCAATCTGTTTGGTGAGGCTGCCACTCCAAACATCAGTGTCACTTCGCCAACACAGGTCAGCAGTACTTTCTTCTCCTGTAATCCTCGTCTTCGGGCTAATGATGCTACTAGTAAAGACACCAGCATTGGCTAAAATACGCAGTTTGAAAACTGACTTCCTGCCAGTTCACAAGCTGGAATTTGAATAGTAGGATGTTGAATCTGAGTTGGAATGATGGGGGTTACTGAATTAAAATGCAATAAATGTTGTTGGTCTGAAGAACATGGCAACAGCAGGTCACTTATCAGGTGTTCTTTTAAAAGTTTCCATCTTCTAAGCCTGTTTGGTGTTTGGCTCCACTTTGAAGATTTTAGGGTAAATTGTAAAATTGGAAGTTAATTTGTTAAATATGAATGAAATACAGTATATTAAAATTAAATACTTTTCTATGGATGGAATAGAAATGTTGTAATAATTAACACAGGTAGTAATTAATACTGAAAAATAAAAATAACACTTCACATAGAATATACATTTCTTGGAATGTAAATCCATTTCATTTGACTTCCTTAAATTCAAATTACAATTCTTCTTTTTGGCCCCTTTTCAAAATTTGAAAGGCATTCATAATTCAATTCTGAATGACAACTAACCCTAAAATGGTTTGTGTGATAGTTATACATTATGCTCTTACATATCATTTTTTTTTTTACATTACATCAGTAATCATAAATAATATTTTAAGCAGTACTTAGAAGACTGTTACCCTTGCAATATGCTAGAGTGAAACTGTTGTAATCAACTGTGAGAATTAAGGTATGGACACATTTACCGTTGTTCTGCAAATTTTCATGGGTAAATTGCAGTCATTTCAATAGGAATCCGCGTAATCTGGAATTTCACAAAGATTTGCCCACTCAAGTCAGTAAAGCAAATTTCCTGCTTATTAACCAACAGAAACCTTCTCGGTTTGAAAGTGACAATGGAGCTTTTTTCCTGTAAACTTTCACAGGAATTTTCTTTCTTTTTTTTTGTCAGTATGATGCTCCAGCCACTGCTAATCTGCTGGATATGGATCTGGACTCACTTCAGGCTGCCACCACACCAGCCGCACAGGTCTGTCAGAATTAGAGGAACTAAGTAAAGTTTTTTAGAGTTTTTATTAAACTTTCATTCAATTTAGCTTATAGCAGTGTTGTAGTATTCAGGTCCAGGCAAGACCAGACTCAGTTCTGAGTCCAAGGCCATATTTTCTATGTCTAGTCAAGACCAGCTCATTCAAGGATGCGTCTATGCCGAGTCTAAATGCTCCTGAGAATATGGTCAGGTGCTCAGCCTTGAGATGGACTCAACTGAGTCCGAGTCTGGTCTCGTCCAAACTCGAGGACTACAACACTTATAGTACGTTTAATTTATGCATTATAACATATTCAATGTGTGCATGCAATGGAACATCAAACTGACAAATCTGCTTTGTCTAGTCATTCATTTTGCTTTGTTTTTATGCATTTTGACAGACTTGGGATTCATGGGAGGTGAGTGTGCTTTTATGTTTGCCTATAGTTGTAGTGTATATCAGCATACATAACCTTTCCTTTTAATTCAAACAGATTCCTACACTATTTTGAAGAATTTAGCTAATAATATTCAATATATGTAATGGTTAGGGAAATCAGTCTGCCCTTGTCAAACAGTTGCAAAAAAGCTATTCCATTAAATTTCCTTTCACTGCAAAGCTTTCCAGCATAAAGATTGTAAATGTCTGTCTGTCCCGCTTTAGTAACTGTCCGCGATATTAATGTTGCATGTCCCACATCATTCCATAGAGGCTATATGACCTCCAGTATTGTGTGTTCAGCTGCAGAAATGCTCATCTGTGTTTTACACTCTCTCTGGCTCCTCATTCTTTCTCCACTCTGAATGATCCCTGCTCATGCTTTTCCCCTGCTCCTACATGTGCCCTTCCCCACCATTCCCCTCACCGCCATACCCACCCTCCTCCCTGCCACATGTAGCAAACAGAGAAGGAAGCTGAGGTGCCTCAGACATGGGACGATGATGGTACCCAGCCTGTGCACTCTGGCTGGGGCGATGATGGTACCCAGGCTACCTGGGATGATGATGGTAGCCAACCTGTGTGTGCTCCGGCCGCATACTCCACCTGGGATGATGATGTCTCTCAGCCTGTGCAGGGGAATGACAATGATTCTACCCAGCAGGCCCAGGGGTGGGACGATGATGGGGCTCAGGTACAAATCTCACAGAGCAAGCTGACAGGAGCTGAGCTGTGCTATATTGAGGTCGCGCTCCTGTAGGAACCTGTGGATGGAGGCGAAAAGTTGCTTAGCATGGCAATAGGGAGGCTGGTAGCAGTGCTAATAGCAGTAGTAGAAGTAGTAGTCGTAACAGCTACAGCTGGGCTTGCTATGTTATGAGGATAGCTGTGTAATATGCATCTTTTTGTTCTCTCTTTCAATTCTTGGCTCTCTCTTGGTATTTCTACCTCTTATTCCTCAATCTGTATTGGCTCTCTCCTTCTTTATCTCCCGGTCTTTCCCTTTTGCAGGCCACAGAAAAGGTAGCTGTTACAGAAGAGGCAGTAGCTGAAACCGTAAATGAAGTAAGTGATGAGTAAGTAAATAAAATAAGGCATAGCATACGATCCAAAAGTGTCAAATCTGATCATCAAACCCAAGGCAACAGCATAAAGAACAAACAGGAAGTCTATAGGTGACTCAAACCTTGCATGAACATACACTACTATTCAAAAATATTTTATTTTATTATTTTTTAAAGAAATAAATACATTTTTGTTCAGCAAGGATGCATTAAACTGATCAAAAGTGACAGTTAAGACATGAATAATGTTACAAAAAGTTTCTATTTAAAAAAATAATCTTGTTTCCCACAAAAATGTTCACGGTTTCCACAAAAATATTAAGCAGCACAACTGTTGTCAACATTGATAATAATAAGAAATTATTCTTGAGCAGCAAATCAGCATATTAGACTGATTTCTGAAGGATCATGTGCCAATGAAAACTGGAGCTGAAAATTCATCTTTGTCATCACAGAAAAATGATGCTAATCATTAATATAATACATTCAAAAGTATAAAGTTTATGTCTGTTGTTGTATTTACATTCATTGTTTATTCCAGACTGCACAGGCGACCACTGAGAGCACAGAGAGTGTAGAGATGCCAGAATCCTTCCTGTTCAAAGTGAGTGCAAAATTATGTTTCAGTTTAACTAACATTGGTCTTTTAATCAGAATTTGAAGCAGAAGAAGTGAGACATGTATTTGTGTGAATATAGGTGAAAGCAATGCACGACTACAATGCCAATGACTCTGATGAGTTGGAGTTGAAGGCCGGAGATGTGGTGCTGGTTGTAAGCTATGAAAACCCAGACGAGGAGGTTAGTTATAGTCGTTTTGACCAGTTCTTACACTAGAGATCTTGATGTTTGGATCACCTAACTGCGTTTCTGTGCTTACAGGATGAAGGTTGGTTAGTGGGAGTCAAAGAGTCCGACTGGATTCAGCATAAAGCTCAAGGGAAAAAAGGAGTCTTTCCTGAAAACTTCACCCAGAGGATGTGAGAGCCTGTGATCCGCTTGACCTGTTGTTAATCCTTCTATATAACTCCTTATTGCTTCCCTTCAAAATGCAAACAAAAAAACTGTACTACGACACCAACAAATGCACAGCCACAGGCAATCTGCTGGTTATGTTTGTGGAAGTTGTTGACAGGTTAGTCTTTGCGTTGTTGTCACCATGTCTCCTATTTGTCACGATGCAAATATAAGACAACCTTTGACAAAATAAGTGGTATTCTGTTAACTAGTTTTGCCTTTTTTAATAGATGGAGTAACATACCCAAAGTAAGTCCTTGCTGCAAATGTTTTTAGACTAGATATTCTTAACCATGTCCCATTTTGTGTGGAAATGTTTTAAAGTCATATCCCAGATGAGCTAACAAACTGGTGAGAAAACAGTCTCTGTAGTCTAATATTGAGCAAGCACTATTTGAGCTGCATGATATATATATATATAGTAATGTCACAGGTGGAAGCAAACAGTATTTCTTTTTAAATGGTGATTAATATTCCTCTCGAGACTGGAATGCACTACACAACTTTTCAAATCTAAACAGATAAAAAAAAACACTAGACATCGTACACTTGCCATCTTTGTGACTGATGGTCACAAACTACAAACGACTTTAAAGTTGCTCCGAACACAACAAACTTATTGTTTCTAGGAGATGTGTGACAAATAAAAGCAATATGTGTTCTAAAACCTACATGGTTAATATCCTCTGATTGGATGGAATCACAGGCTGATTTTCTGTGAAATCTGTCAACTCCAACTGCCCAAAATCTGCAGACTAGCGCCAACTCCTCCAGACTGTAAATTAGGGCAAAAATCTGTACAAAAGTCATGTAGTGAATTCCAGCCTTCAGTTACATAGTCCTACAATATGACAGCTGAACACTCCTCGATGGAAATTGAGTTTGACTGCTCAGAGTCAAAGATCTACCAGCTCCATTTCTGCATGTTTAAATCAGAAACAAACTCAAAAGTTAAAATAAAACAGACTAATATAGTTAAAGGAGTATTTAATCCTTCTCATTAACAAACAAAAAACATATGCACTCATTCCATATGCAGTTAATGGTGACACTAATGAGGCTGACCTATTTAACCCCAGACTCTTGCTCAGGTTATATTTACATGAACCTGTGTGCTGTCTTTCACCCTTAGCTTTACCTTATACATACTATTACTGGCCACTGATTTCTTTTTCTTTTTTGATGAAGCCATTTCAGAAATTAATGTGATTAATATTGTACTTCACTGTGCAAACGGAGTCATATACACATAATTTGTCTCAGTCATTTAGTAAAACACGGTTTAGTATATTCAGTGAAGGAGAATTTCTGTCCTTCTTAACATGAAATGCAATAATCTCTGCACAGATTTTTATTTCTTTATGAATTGTGTTCATAGGCACGTCGGAGATATTGGATATGGGCATTTTGTGATATGAAAGTGGATATTAAAGCAGCACTATGTAACTTTTGGCGCTCTAGCGGTTAATAAACAGAACTGCACACATCCCGCGGAAGAACATTCCAACCGGAGCTACTTCTCTAAGTTTATGTCTATGGCGATTCACGCAGGTATGTGTTACTCCGCAGCGGTGACGACCCGACTAGGGTACAATAGTCCAAATATAAGTACTTATTATAAGTGTACCGTAGTGATTCGGAATAAGACAAAAAATGCGGTTTGGAAGATGAATTCATGATGTACTCGCTCATTATATACATTTTGCAAATTTTGAACACAGAAAAAGTTACATAGTGCTGCTTTAATGCTCACTTGTGTGGGTTTTAATACAGTGCAACATTCAAAAGTGACTCAGAATATGCATAATATGAATTCAGTCCTCTTACACTGCAATTATAGTTTTATTTTTGTACATTGTGAGACAAATGAGAGTTAAAATGATTCTATGTGCCATGAACACTGGCTTTTAACTGGGGTCTTTCTCAGTGTTGTATACTCTGGTCTTTTCATGTTTGGATCAGAAAGTACCATCAATCTCAGAGCAAGAGCAGGTTTAGTGAGGATATGAACTTTTATAAGGGACTGAACTCAAGTTGGTATGGCAGAGATATTGATTCTCCAGTCATCTGTTGTGCTGAATGAGAACTTGTTTGCTTTTTGTTTGGTTTGCTTGCTACCCCTGATCTCTCGCTAACTGGACGTGTCACGTGACCCAAGCTTTGAGGGAGTTCTTGCCACGCTTCACCAGTTTTGAAGCACGTTTGCGTGCTTGGTTTTTGTATCCAGTACTGAGAAATCAATCTGATCTGTATAGAGACTGCCAATGCATCTTTAATGACCTCTCACGCAAGCTCTTAATTAAATTGAAAGTCCTTGTTGGTGGACAAACACTTCCTCTTCATGTATTTGAGCGCAGTTACGATATTTGCTAGTGTTGTGTTGTTGTTGCATTTGTGGCTGTGATCATTGTGTAGTTTTGTTGCATTTCGTCACTAAAGATACAAATTCTCTGAGCATATCTATATCTGTAATTAGTGTGAATGTGAAAGGGGCATACTTAAATCCATGAGCAGTGTGTCTGTGTGTAGTGACTTGATGCTTTCTCGCTGAGGTGGCCTGGGAAACCAGGGTCACTTTGCGCCACTATAAGCCATGAGTAGTCATTCTGCAGTCCTGTATCCTGCTGACTCACCAATGCTAATAAACATGGATTTAATCCTGTCATATTTCATCTTTTGTGTGCACAAATTGTCCAAATTCGGAAAAAAAAAATAAAAAATCAAACCTTAATTTTGTTTCAGTAAACTCGATTGAAAAAATTTAGCTTTTTAAAGTATTTATTACAGAAATAAGAATATACTCGTGCAAACTGATTGTAATTGAAACAGTTGTGATTGTGTTCATTGCAATTAAATTAAAACATATTATAGATTAAATTAATATAAAATGCAATTAGATAAAAATTAGAGAGCTTTTATGGCCCATTTTAGTAGGACTTCAGTATCTTAATATGTAATTTCATGATTACTTCTATTGTCTTTGAAATATGGTTAAAGTGCACTGCTGAAATTAAAATATATTTACTGTCATTACTGTATATATATATATATATATATATATATATATA